AAAAATACAGTAAAATTTGAACATCAGTGTAAAATACAGTTAAATCTATAAAATCTGATGCTTGTTTGCAGCCAAATACAAGAGTCACTGCTGTGAAAACAAACAATATATATCGATAAAAAGTGTTCATAAAAATATGTTTAGAGAATCAACTTGATTTTGGCTCACTGTAAAAATACATGTTTTGTTAAATTTTGCAAAATTAGAGAGAAAAAATAAGCCGTTAACCGTCAACCAAACTGTAAAATAATCCATCAAATTAAATCATCAGCCTAAATACACGTTTTATTCAAATTACTGTACAATAATCTCTACATAATATATGTGAAATAAGTTTATTTTTGTGGATTTAAATACAGAAAAAAAGTGTAATTTGTATGTCAAATAAATTAGAATTAATTTTTTAAAAAGATTTTTAATGTAGATGTTATTTAGAAATTTGTTGAAAACATTAAAACAAAAACGTTTAAATCTGCTCCATCTTATCTTTCGCTCTCCGTTCATATTGATGTGTTCTGTTCTTCCTCTCTGCCTTCATCTCTTTCCTGTTTCCGTCCCCGTCGATGCCTTCGGACTGATTTTTATCTCAGCGCGTCGTAAAACGTCAACAGATATCCGAGTGTCTCCGTTCCCGTCTGATTTCCTGCAGACCTCTCAGACGGCTAATTAAATGGCCGCTGCTCTCACATTTTCTCCGTCGAGGGCACGAGTCAGAACTCAAACAAATAAAGCTGGAGGCAGAGGTGGCTGTTTGGGTTCCTGAATCCCAAAACTTGCATCATCGTCTGCCGGTCGTCGTATCAGACGCTGCTGCTGGTGAAGTCAGCGAACCAGGCGGCTCCGAGATCCAAACCTGACGTTTGGGGGGATAAAATCATTACTGGCTTGAGGCAAAGCTCGACGCAGGTGATTAGAGGTTCTAATAAAGTGAGTTCATGGAAGCTTGTAGAGACGACGACGGTCAGAACCAGAGTCAAATAAAAATCTCCAGAAACTCAAGATTACTCAAACCTCTTTTCTTGTTACCAGCAGACACATTTCTAGTCCTGTGTCGGTTAGTTTCCTGTTTTTCTAGAACACGGTAACCAGTGGACTCGAAATATTCAAAGTAAACATGAGCAAAAGTATGTGGACACCTGAAAGGGACTCATACGGTAAACATCTCATTCAAGATAAGAAAAGAAAAGCTGCAACTTTATTTATTTCTGAGGAGTTTCGTGTGCCAGATATCGTCAAAAAACAAATTACAACAACTAGAAACATGCAGAAAGCAATCAGATGTAACTATGATTCATTACTAGGATGTAAAAATTAAATAATAATCAACAAAAATAAGATGAAAACAGAAACACAAGTCATGTGGACGATAATGTCGACGTCATAAATTAATACTGCACGTTAAAAAAAACATGATTAATATGATCATTATTAATAGTTGTTTCTGTGATTTTACTGCTTATTATCTGTATTTTAACAGAACAGGCAAAATCTGTAAAATAAAATAAAAAGATTCACCTTTTTTATTCTTTAATTTGCATAATCTGTAAAATAAAATAAAACATGCTGTTTAAAATACATTTTTAAGAGAATTTTACAGTCAAACAGTGTAAAAGAATAAACTAATATTTGTGAAGTACAGACTTTATTTGCATGTTTATTTAATTTATTTTAGAACTGGCGCTTATTTTCAATATCGACCTGGTCAAGCTGTAAATTAATTCTGTTTTTTGTGCCGTTTTACTGCTTATTATCTGTAATTTCACAAAACAGACGAACCAACAACAGTTAACAACGTTTGTCCTCGACAGTCTGCGTCCACATACTTTTGGCATTCCTTTACAGCAGCGTTGGCAGAGAAACTTTTAATCGTTTCGCTGCTGAAGAAACTCTGAGTTTCCCACTTAAAATGCAGAAACTTTCACACTGACGCTGCGTTATGGTGATTTGAGGATAATCTCCCATCGATGGAGAACCAACAGGCTTTGCTCTGAATCGGGCCTCTCACGGTCCAACATGGCGTCTGAGTGTTTCTGGCCTCCTGATGGACGGACCGACTCCCAAACGCTGCTCTTTCAGCATCACACGACCTCCGACCTTCAGCCGTGGCCTCATGAAGGTCGTTACTCTGCGGGATGAAATGAGGGGAAACACAGCGAGGGAGTCGCACAAAGAGAGAGAACAGGCCACTGTGGAGGAGGACGGCACAACAGATGGGTTTGTTGAAGCCTCGGCGGTCTGGAAGGTGCTTGGTTCTGCTTCCTGCGTTCCCGTGGGCGAGTCGGTGGGCGTCCAACACCCACGAGTCCGTTTTCAGTTTCCACGCAAAACCAACTTCTCTGTCTTCGTGGAGATGGAGAGAAAAAATAAAAGTCTGATCCACTGTGAATAAACATCCACGGATCTGCGTGGAAGGCACAGAGGAGATGCTTTCTGAGTGAGAAACGTTTTAAAGCTTCACGTGCAGGAGTCGTCCGCTGTGGTGCGTTCAAGTACTCAAACAAAAAAAAACGAAATAGCAACGTCAAGTTTTTACTTTTATGCTGCTGGAAAAAAAAAATCAAAAGTTTCTGACTATTTTTTAAAAACAATTTACTGATATTTTACATATTTTCTCTTGTTGTGTAGCAGCGAGCGGAGAATTCGCTGTGAGGATTTAATGAAAACCGCTTCAGATCTGAGCTGCGTTTGGACGTGAACGGAGCCAGAACAGATAAATAACCGTTGGTGGGAATCTGCAGTTGTTTTAAGAAGCTGCAATACGTGACAACAAACCGTTTAAATGCAGCATCGTGGTGCAAACAGAGGAGCTCCAAAGTCTTTTCATATTAATCATGCAGAAGCAAATTCATTAAGACTCGAACACCAAAACTCTCCTCCGTCCATTTATGCACAATGTTTTGAAATCAGGTCGGCGAAGCGGCAACAACACAGCAGACCACACGAGTCCTGATGCTCCTGTCGAGGCTTTTCAGAACCGACAGCGACCCGGTGGGACGGAAACGTGGTCGGTTTGCGGTTGCAGAAGTTCCTCGTGTGTCGCCTGCTGCGTTGTTGCAGCTTCGTCCGGGTTTGTGATCGACAAACAAGCGACAGCCGGCTCCGGCTTCTTGCAACGTTTGCAGCGAAACTGTTCGACACGAATCCCGACACAAACAGCATCAGGTTCACAGCCGCCGTGCACACATTCATCAAACCAGGCCTTTTGCATGTTTTGCCTCATTTGCAAAGCAAATCGTGCGTCGTAAGTGTGAAACTAGCTGTTTATCCAGAGCACGCCGCTGTGTTGGATGAATCATGTGTTTGACTCTCTGCTCTATTATTAACAGTGGAGTGATGACGCGCTGCCTGCTGGTTTTAAAGGCTTCTGAAATGCATGTTGTCAGGGAGCGTTTCACTGTCCGCAGATAATGTTTCATTTGCTGTTACTGACCACAACGCTGACATGTCATCAACCTTAAAGCTGATTTCATGAACAGTTGATCAAACAGATGCTAGTTTGGACGTCCATCAGCTAGTGAGCAACACTATCAGTCGTTTACAGCCACGTTTGTTTCCACCTGATGACTCGAAGCCCAACGTTTGCTCCCTTTTAGCTCCAGTTTTGGTCTCCACCAGAGAAATATCTTAGAAATATCCTGAGACAGTGTTTTCATGTTGGTTTGATTGCAGTTTTGTGAGTTGTGACGGACTTTCTACACATGAAAAAAACTGCATTTTAAACAGAGATTTTGATAGGAGACATGTTTTTATTGGCTTTCTTGGTCCAGTGAGGTGCAGCACAAACAAGCTGTGAGCACGACAACAAGCTGATAGGACAAAGTATTTTTGCAAACATATATTTATTCAGACATCCAGCAGTGAGAAAGCAATATTTTCAATCATCTGTCCCCACGCGATGAATCCGAACCCAAGTTTTCATCTCTTTTAGCTCCATTTTTGGTCTCCACCACCTCCTGAGAGAAACATCTTGATAATGTTTGAATGTCGTGTTTCGTTGTAGTTGTGTGAGTTGTGGCGGATTTACAACAGATAGTGGAGACCTTTATTGAAACGAAAGTAAAGATTCTGATAGGAGACATAATTTTATTGCCTTTTTATGACCAGTTAGAGGCGAAAGAAACAAGCTGAGCACAACAAAAAGCTGATATAATGGAAGCATTTTGCAAACAGATGCCTTTTTAGACATCCAGCAGTGAGCGAGCATCATTATCAATCATTTGCACTCACGTTTGTCTCCACGCGATGAAGCTACGCCCAATTTTCAGTCTCTTTTAGCTCCATTTTTGGTCTCCACCACCAGAGAAATACCTCAGATGAGGTTTTCATGACGTGTTTAGTTGTAGCTGGACGATGTGTGAATCATGACGGATAATTTGAACAGATAATTTAAAGCCGTGTTTGTGACCAGCTGATAACTTTAAACCTCATTGTGAGACAGTTTTAGCTCCATTTTTGGTCTCCTCCACCTCCTTACTTCAGATGACGTTTGAATCTTTGCTTGTAGTTGTGTGAGTTATGATGGATTTTCAGATTTAACCTGTTTTCATCGTCTCTTTTGGCCTCTACAGTATGATATAAAAAAAAAATATGCAAATTTATGTGTCAAAGTTAAAACCTTACACTAATATATAAACTACAGACTTACTCGACTTATTCACATATTAAGTTTAGACCCCACAATCATGAATATTGTACAAATTTACTTGCTTAATTTAAATGCTAAGTTAAGCTGCTACAATGTTCTATATTATAAATTTACACGGTTAATTCAGATAATATGGTTAAGACTTTATAGTATTATATATTTTACAACTGCTTTTGATTATTTAAAGTTATGGCTCTATAATGTTATATATTGTGCACATTTATCCCAACTACAATATTAAATATTATACAAATTTACATCCCAAATTTAAATAATTAAAGTTTATAAAATCTTGTATATTACAGGAAAGAGTTAAGTTAACTTTATTATTTAAATTTGACAAACAGAGTTGCATAATATAATATATGAACTTAAATATTACAGTTTAGGTGCTACAACTCTGTCATTTTTGTCGGAAATTTATCAGAAAAATGTAAATATTACTTTAATACAAAACAAATCCACTTCTCCACATGATTCCATCCTCTACAGGAAGCCTTTGTAGTGTTTTTAGCAGACGACCCGATAAAACTGACCCACAGAAGCCAAGCATCACTTCTTAAAGTGTTTTCATTCGTCTGTGGAGTCGAGCTCGACTCCTGAATCTCGTGTCCAGACGAGGCTTCTTGAAGTTTTTCGCAGAAGCAGGTGAAACAGAAATAAACAGAAGCAGAGAGGAGACGGAGCGTTATGTAACGCCGTCGTCCACCAGCCTCGTGTGTCTGTTTGGTTCTTGGAAACACGAGAGGATGCAGCCCGGGCCCTGTCGCCATGGCAACTGCATCTTCCTCCCCGGCCGGCCGTCGCCGCCGCGCTGCTCTTACATCTCGTCGTGACATTACTATTGTTATTGCCGCCGTCACAGATGACACCTCGCGCGCTCGGCGGCGTTTCCGCGGCGACGCGCATGCGTGTGCTCAGGTGTGCGAGCGGTTACGTAAACGCACACGTGTTTACCTTCACGTCTGCACGGTCGGCCGGTCTGATGAGGAGAACGCCTGACATCTGCTTTGACACGACACACACACACACACACACACACACACAGTCAGCTGCTCGGTCGACCGGCTGCACGTCGCTTTGGTTTTGGTGTTTGCATAATGAGCTTCTGGAGCGCAGTGGTGCTGCAACGAGCCTCGATCTGTGTTAGAATAAAATAATTCTGTTTGAGTTCAGGTGTCAGAGAAATGTGTTCCTTTAATTATGATTTTTCACGGCACTCGACACTTAACGCTGTTGCATCGATTCAAAGAGTCGCAAAATCAATCTGGGTTTCTGTTAAATCTGCTTTTAACTCCGTAAAAGTTTTGCTCGTCTTTGTTGCACCTTAAATATTTAAAATAAATGAACCCTGTGAGAAGTTTAGACGTGGAAATGTTTGTTCAGCGGAGCTGCAAAAACATCCCAAACATGACAATCAATACCACAACAAGCTGCTAGAAGCACAGCAACCACTAGTTTAATCCTTTAATCCGATTCTTTATGAGATGTTTATGTAAAATCACGAAAGGAAGTGTTGCTTAAGCAGAGCTACGGCTAAAGGGATGTTTATTTAACGCGTCTTTGTTGTCCTGATGTCATTAAGTGTCACATAAGTCTTCGTCACGGTGTTCCTTTATGAGCTAAACTCCCACATTGCTCTCGGCAGGCAGCGACCCCTCTGGTCTATTTAACAGTTAGAGGCTCCACCTGGTGGTGCAACCAGGTACTACAGCTGATACTTAAACCGTGTATTATCGAAGAATACTGAATACTAAATGGCTGGTATTTCATCAGAAGCAAAAAAAAACTCTCTTCATGTACCATTTGTCCATCAATTCTTCCTGCTGTTGCAAATTTAAAAGTTGGTTTAAAAAAAATGTTTTCGACTGCTTCATTTTCCCTGTTTTGTCAACTTACGGACAATATATAGCAAAACCAAAAGGGGAGAGTAGTTATTTACATGTTAACTGTAAAAAATAAATAAATAAAAAGGAAAAAATTAGACAAAACAGGCCCAAAGTGTAAAAAGTGTTTTTTTTTATTGTACTTAAATCAGCAGAAATATTGTTATTTTACAGATATTTGCCATTATTTAAAAAAAAAAAAAAAAAGTATATTAAGAAAAGAGCACTTTTTTCTAATTCTAATTTTTCCCCCCCCTCTTTAAATAAAAGAAATAATGGAAAAAAGTATATAATTTATTAACATGTTGACTGTAAAAGTATTTTTGTAAAAATTGGCTAAAACTGTAAATAATGTCCACATAAAAAAAGTAAATTTTTTTAATGGATAATTTTTTATTTTTTTGCAACGTGTGACCACATAGTTACACCGTTTTACTCTTTAAATCAGCTCAAAATATCAGAATTTTACAGATATTTTACTGGTGTTTCCATTATTTTTATAGTTATTTCACTTTTTTTATATTTCTTTTTCTTGGCACAGATTTTTTTTCACACATTTGTTGTTGTTTTTTTTACAGTGCAGAGACGTTGCGTCTCCTCCACCTTCCATATCCGTTACTATGATTCCCATAATCTGATTTGTTAACCTGCTCGTTGGCATTAATGAGAGCTGCAGCCACTGCGGAGCATCTGGTGAATTATTCATGCACCTGCAGCTCTGTTGCATGAACCTGAGCGCATGTGAGCGCCGCTGTCACTTTGTGTGGCCTCGATGCGTTTGTTTACCGACGTGTGTGTGTGTGTGTGTGTGTGTGTGTGCACCAGCGTTGCGTGGGCGGCTGATGTGAGTCACGATTGTGGAAAATCCCGCTCTGCTCCTCCTCCTCCTGCTGCTTCGTCCTCTTGATGCACCCGGAGGCGATGAAGAGGCGATGGGGAGGCGACGTGGAGGCGAAGGGTGTCACTCTGCAAAGATCTCCGTCACAAAGACCTGAATGAGGTCCGACCCGATGCCTCAGGGTCCACGACGAGTCGACTCGCTGGCTCGTGTCCTGTTTACATTCACGTCAGCCAAGAGAGATGCGAGATTCATTATCGACTCGTTCATAATCTGAAGACAAAACAGAGAGACGAGACTAATTCCAGTCGTTGTGACTCTGAAAAACATCCCAAACATGACGAATGAATCCTCTGATGAACTGGTTTAATCCTTTAGAGCGACCAGAGGAGGTCCAGCTCCACGTCAGGAAGCAGAGGATGGTTGAGCTCATAGAGGGACAGAGTAGTTAAAGGTTTAAAACCAGAAAAACACACAACCCCCCGATAAACATGTTTTGTAGAAGTCTTTGTGCTCATTTTGTGTCTCTGTGGATGTTTTGAGTCATTTTACGACTCGTTGTTTGTTTTGATTGTCTTTAGAGTTGTTTTGGCCATTTTATGTCACTTTGTGGTCATTTTGTTGTGTCTTTTGTGGATGTTTTGTGTCTATTTATGGTTATTTTGTGTCTCGTTGTGGTCATTTTGTTGTGTCTATATGTGGTTGTTTTGTGTTTTTTGTCTTTGTTTTCTGTGTTTGTTTGTTGTTTTGTGTCTCTTTGTGGCTGTTTTGCTTGTCATCTGCATCGTTTTTTGTCTCTTTGTGATCTTACTGTGTTTCTTGTTGTCTTTGTGTGCCATTGTGATTGTTTTGTGTCTCTCTGTAGTTGTTTTGCTTGTGTTTGTATTTTTTGGCGGTCAGTTTATGTCTCTTAGTGATTGTTTTGTGTCTTTGTAGTTGGTGTTTTTGCCATTTTGAGCCTCTTTGTCGTAATTTGGGGTATTTTGTGTCTGTTTGTGTTCATTTAGTGTCTTTTTATGGTCTTTTAGTGTCTCGTTGTGGTTATTTTCTGTCCCCTTGCGGTCATTTTGTCATTCTTAAGCTAACCCCGTCTGAAACACGACTACCAAGGGACACATAAACTCACCTGAATGTTCTCTGCGACGCCCTGCAGCAGCTTTACAAACTGTTTATTGAAGGGTCGCAGTGAAAACAGAGGGATGAATCCATCCTGCTCATTTCCTGCCTTCAGAGGTTGAGACACCGACGATGAAGGTGCTGCTGAAGGCATCACTGAACATTTAAAGGTTAACGGGGAGTTTAACTGCTGTGATCGCTCGTCTAATATTTGTCGTTTTTTTCCTGCATAAATGATCTGATGATCCGTCCGGCTTTTCCCGTCGTCTTCATCTTCAGCAGCGTGTCTTTGCTTTCAAACACTCACAGTTTTGCTTCTCGACTTTGAACCGAATCTTTCTTCTCTGTGAGACATTAAAGTGTCGCAGATTTAGACGATCTTAACCCGTCTTCTTTCTTTCTTTGGATTTCTCATTGCAGAAAGTCAGCGAGAAGGTCGGTGGGGCAGAAGGAACCAAGCTAGACGATGACTTCAAAGAAATGGAAAAGGTAATTATCCCAAACACCACAAAGAGTCCAAAGATCTCCTTTATCAGAGCGGAAAAATACAGTTTTTAAAGTGGGAAGCCATGTTTGGATTTGGTTTCACTTTCACATAGGAGTGATTGTAACGTGTTGTCGTATGTGGATGTAGATGGAGGTGAAATAAATGTCCACATGAAGACAACATGGAAGCAGCTTGTGACTAAAAACAACATCTAGACGTCTACGGACTCCTGGTTGTTTCCTACCAACGAGTTCACGTCAACACGTAGTCAAAACTGATAAAAACCGACTCTACTGATGTTAGAGCCTCGAAAGTTGGTATAAAAAAAAAGTGTGTATTTTAGCAGGAAACATGGATCCATCCATATATATGTACACTGACAGGAACTTTCTGGGGCCACAGCAGAGCCCTTGTTTAAACATTTTGCAGTTTTATTCATTTTTAAGGGCTGATAGTTGCAAATGTGGCCTCTGTTGGATCCATTCAAGTCATTTATATTCCTATTATGTCTTAATGGCTCTGCTAGTTGTATTTCTGGAGATATTTAACCCTGAAAATGCCTAAAACTACCAAAATTCCCAGATCTGGAAATATATGAAACTTAACTTTGTGTCCCAAATGATGAACAAATAATCTCAGAACAAAACCGACGATAATCTGATGGTGAAATAGTAAAATAGTGACCACAGTGTAGGAGAACGTAGCAGAACACGATGGAGCGTTGAGTCTAAATGTTCGTGAACAGAAGTGATTCTGCGTTTTTACCGTGAGGTGTCGACTTCAAGGAGACACTTCTCTGGGTTTGCGTCCGGCCCGAGAGCTGGACGGGAGCGTTTGGTGTAATTAAATGTGGCCTTTTAATTACATCCGGCGACAGAAGACGAACGCAGAGCTTCAGTTATCAAAGCTCCTCTGATGAGCTCAGGGCTGCAGAGACTGTGGATATTTATAGAGACTTTAACTGGCTTTTCATTTATTATGATGATTATTGTTGTTGTTGTTGTTTTATTTTTAATAATGCAGATTCATTGATTTTAGTAGCAGTATTATCATATTACGTTTTATTTGAAATGTATTTTAATGTTGTTGTTGTTGATTTAATTATTACTATCATAGAATTTGGAATTAAATTAATTTAATTGGCAGCAGCAGTTGTGATACTGCTGTCATTATTGTTTCTGTGTTGTTATCATTATTCAATTAAGATTAACTGATTTAATTCTGTTTGATTTAAGTTTCTCTGTGGTCGTTTTGCATCTCTTTGTGGGTTGTTTTGTGTTTTTTTATGATTATTTTGTCTCTTTGTGGTTTTTTTGTGTCTAATTAAGGAAAGAATCAAAGAAACGAACCTGCACACTTTGCTTTTAGTGCAGATTTCACAAAGACGAGATGCATTTTGCTGCTATTTTTCACAGAACAAGGCTGTTTTCTCCTGTTTCTGGTGTAGCTATGCTAAGCTAGGCTAAGCTAACCTGTTGCTACGTGTCGCTTCTTGCTGAGCAGACATCAGCCTCCTTATTTAAACATGGAACTATTGTACACTTCTTTTTTGTCTTTTCTACATCAACATCTGGGCGTCTTTGTGTGACTCACCGTTTTTCCTCTGCAGAAGGTGGACGTGACCAGCAGAGCGGTGCTGGACATCATGACCAAAACCACAGAGTACCTGCAGCCCAACCCAGGTAACACAACAACAACAACAACACCACACATACTGTGTCGCACCAACAGCAGCAGCGTCGACTAACTCCTGCGTCCTCACAGCGTCCAGAGCCAAGCTGAGCATGATCAACACCATGTCCAAGATCCGCGGGCAGGACAAAGGGCCCGGCTACCCGCAGGCCGAGACCGTCCTGGGCGACGCCATGCTGAAGTTCGGACGGGAGCTCGGAGAAGAGTCCTGCTTCGGTGAGTCGGGGCGTGGAGATAAGACAGCGGGTCAACAGGATGTTTGCAGAGACTATTTGATAACTTAAGCTAGAATTTCACAGAAACCATTTTAAATATCTGAAGTTTCTGATTTGAAAAAAAGCTTCAAGCACATCAGAGCTGGTCGAGCAGAAGGAAGCTGATGATTCCAGCAACAGTTTGGAAGTTTGGACATTTTCTCACAGTGACAAAAATATCAATTAATTTCATCTTCACCAGCTTTTCTCATCATAATCCCGTTTTCTGGTTCTTTCACTAAACCGACGTCTCTTTGAAACAAACTTTTCTTGTTTTAACACAACAGGTTGATGTTAAAATAGACTCATAGGTGAGGTTTCAAAGTAAAACACGCAGCTTCAGCATGTTTTAGGGTTCAGAGGGTTTATACAAGAGTTTAGCAACATTTGGTTTAAAGTTTTAAAAAAAATGTACAAACTGTCTCCAAGTCTTAAGGAAAGTGATCTGGATCCACACGACGTTTCATGAAACTCAACCTGGTAGCAACATGCTGCTGTTAAATCCTCTTAGCTGTTAGCTTAGCTTTGATGAACGTCCCGGATGTTTTACTTTCACTTTCATGTGAGTCACTGGAAACCTGTAATTAGGTAGAAATTATTAAAAAAAAGAAAAAGACAAGAGTGCAGTTTGAGTCCACCAGACGTTCTTGTAGTCACTTCCACGCTTCTGCTTTCTCACCGTTTCCCCGCCCATCCTCGGTTTCCCTGCAGGTTTGGCGCTAATGGACGCCGGCGAGGCCATGAAGGAACTCGGGGAGGTGAAGGACGCTCTGGACATGGAGGTCAAACAGAACTTCATCGACCCGCTGCAGAACCTCCACGACAAAGACCTCAAAGAGATACAGGTGAGTCGACTTCCATAGGCAGAGGGAGGTTCGACCGAAGCGTCTTCGCAGCGGCGACATAAAACCAAAGTGACCCGAATCTCCTCCTACTCCTCCCCAGCATCACCTGAAGAAGATGGAGGGCCGCCGTCTGGACTTCGACTACAAGAAGAAGCGTCAGGGGAAAGTCCAGGACGACGAGATCAAACAGGCGCTAGAGAAGTTCGACGAGAGCAAAGAGATCGCAGAGCAGAGCATGTTCAACCTGCTGGAGAGCGACGTAAGAACCACCACGTCTGTAGAAACGTCCACCAGATGACGTAGAACAGGATCATTTCACTGGTTTTGTTCATCACGGTGTCCAGACGTGTGGTTTCAGTTTACTGTTACTTTACAGATGTTCACAGTTTTGTTAATTCACACATGATAACTTGCAAAATCGCTTTAAAGTTCAAAGCGTTTGTTTAACACCAAACAAAGAACAAACAGGACTGATAAATGTGCACATAAATGAGGAGAAACTAATGGAAGTCCATTAAACGTCTCTGCTCGGTTCTTCTGCTGAGTGACGAAACGGAAATTTACTCTCAGAGAAATAACTAATTCATCACGAAACACTAGAAACTGAAAAAAAAACTCTTCACAACGAGCTCCAAGCTACAAAAATAGGCACCAACACGACAACAGTGAAACCCCGACGTCCTGGATTAGCTCGAACTCATCATCAAATATTAACGTCCGCTCTGGATGCTGACATGCTTCTGCTGTTGCCGTGGGTACGAAGGCAGCATCTGAGCATGCTCACAACCTGTCCCGTGTGCTTGTGTTGCAGATCGAGCAGGTGAGCCAGCTGGCGGCGCTGGTCCAGGCCCAGCTCGAGTACCACAGCCGGGCCGCCGAGATCCTCCAGCAGCTCTCCAGCAAGATGGAGGACAGGTACTGACCCGCCGACCTCCCCGACAGGAAATACGTCAGCGCCGGGACCGGACTGACGTTTGTTTTTTGTCTCCAGGATAAAGGAGGTGTCCAGTAAACCCAGGAAGGAGTTCGCTCCGAAACCCAGGATGACCCTGGAGCTGCTGCCCCCCAGCGAGAGCCACAACGGGGGGATCCACTCGGCCAAATCCCCCGGAAGATCACCAGGTAGGTGCTGCACCGAAGCCTCAGTGTTAGGAACCTTAAAGATTATTAAACACATGTTATTTACCCTATAACATACATGATTATGCAGATTTACTTTACTAATTTAAACATTAACAGTAAACTCTGCAATATTATGAACACAATTACATCTGAGTCATTTAAATATTAAGGTTAAGACCCGACAATATTATTAATTTTAAATATTTACCTGACTAAAGTAAATATTAAGGTTACAATATTGTTATTTATACAAATTTACTGAACTAATCTGAATATTAAGCCCGTACAATTTTTTAACAATTCAATATTGTTTTAAAGATTTGCCCAAACTTCAGACCCTACAAACTTGCTTATAATATAAATGTACGTCTCTAATTAAATGTTAACAGTAAAAATCTACAATGTTACTAACACAATTGTACCTGATTGATTTAAATATTAAAATTAGGACCCTACAATATTATTTATCATATGAATTTATGTGTTTAATTTCAATATTAAAGCTAAGGCCTAACAATATTATTTGTTATATACATTTGTGTGACTAATGTAACTATGAAAGTTAAGATTATACAATATTATGTATTATTATACATATTTACGTGACTAATATAAATAATAAGAACAGTACCCGACAATATTATTTGTTATATCAAAGTACCGGACTAATTTAAATAATGTAATTTGACCCTACAATAGTTTATAAAATACAGTTTTGTCTAATTTGCTCCTTCATTAGCTAAACTCCCATCATGCTCTTTGCTGGCCCACCTCCTCTAGTTTCAGTATTAATAAACAGTAGGAGCCCCACCTGGTGGTGCAGCCAGGTACTGCAGCTAATCTACGATCATTCGCACTATTTCAGTAAATGGTATCGACAAATACTAAACTAAAAAAAACAGAGAAAACCTCGATCGGAACATGAGTAGTTTGCGCCACCTGGTGGAGTTTCTTCCTTCCTGATGGGGGCATCAGTTGTTTTATGGCAACAAGCTGAGTAAAGACAAAGAACCTTCATTTATTACTTTGTTCTCAATCTATTAAAAACAGAATTAAAGGTTTCCTTTCCATCCCTTCGCAGCCCCGATGGACCAGCCGTGCTGCCGAGCGCTCTACGACTTCGAGCCGGAGAACGAGGGCGAGCTCGGCTTCAAAGAAGGCGACGTCATCACCCTGACCAACCAGATCGACGACAACTGGTACGAGGGCATGATCAACGGCCAGTCGGGCTTCTTCCCCATCAACTACGTGGATATCCTGGTGCCGCTCCCCCATTAGGCCCCGACCCGGCCCTCTTCCCCTTCGACTGACCCCCCGAAAACAGCCTGTATTTGCATAAACAACAAACCACGCCCTCCTTCTACTTCTTCTTCTTCTTCTTCTGTGCTTCTGTGCGATTCTGCTTTCACAAAACGGACTGGACGGGGCAGCGATTAGAGGAGAAGAAGGGAAGGACAGGAGGATCATAGCGTGAGGATTAAAGCAAGGCGAGAGGAGTCGGCGCTCGGCCGGGCAGCACTGGATACCGATGAGGCTTTGGAGACTTGCATAAGGCACGGTGTATACGTACGTGCATGTGTGTGTCTGTGTTTCGACCTCTTCTTACTCTGTCACGATCAAGCCAGCACAAATTCCTGCTCGTCGGTTCGACCGCCTGACAGCTTTTCCTGTGTCCTCTTCCTCTCTTCCTACTTTTCTCTTTCCCTCTAAGCATCTTTTCTACCTTGACTTGCCTTCCTGTGCTCTTCTTCAGGTCTCTCGGCAACAGTCTTCCCCACTTTCTGTCTTTCTTACTTTGTCTTTCTGTCCTCTGTCCTTGCCTCGCGCTGCCTTTCAGCATGGCTCCATACTCGGTACAGATCCAGAGCTACAGCTGGGCGTCAGACCCTTCTGCTTTTCATTTTAGCATACCTCGTCCTCTTTTCTAGCTCTTCTTGTAACATACTTTGCCTTTTCCTCCCGAGGATCCTTTGCGTAGAATTTCAGCTCAGCGGCTGCATGCATGAACCAGCCAAACTGAAAACATTCGAGTGACAGAACGCCGGTGAAGTTCAGGTTTCGGGAGCGCGTTGCCGGGGTAAAGCAGTACCTGCAATAAGTTGAGTCTTGCAACGGGAATTTTAGCCGTTTGAGGGTCAGGAAACTCATTGAACTCATCAGTAAGCAGCACAGGCCTGTTGTACTGAACGGAAAGTACCACCAGCTTGGTGAATTGATGAGCCTTGCGTAGACGAAAAAGAGGCTTGTTTTTCGCTGTATACTATTCTAAGTTACCCATTCGCAGTGTTTTGTGCGTACTGTGTGGAGTAGGTGCTTGCTGACTCGTCTTATTTGTGGCTTTTGCATGCAGGGCCGTGTGAACAGTGGTGAAATTCCTGTTTTCAGAACCTTTATTTGCTCAGAAACCTGTCTGGACATTTATTCAGGTCGGCCATATACGCAGGACGCATAGCAGTTGACGGGCTGTTTGTCGATGGCCTCTTTGCCAGACGTCGGCAGAATTTGCTTGAATCTTTGTCGTGGCATTAAGGAGGCAGAATCTCCAACGTGATCCCACAAAAACACGGGAAGTTTTTATAAAATTCTCTAACCTTCAGAACATTCCTTCTATCGCTAATATATTTCAGCTGCGTCTGAAATTCCACACGAACGTTACATTTCGTCCTAACTTCCAGTTCTCAGTTCCAAAATCTTACTATAAACCCAACAGTATGCGAAGTGCAGAAGTTTTCTGAGGGAATATTACAGTATGTAAGCACTGGAGACTATGCCGGCATGAATATCCCACAATGCAACGGGGCAGTGAACGCAACCAAGGTGACTAGGCCTGAGGTTGATGTGGAAACGGAGTGTGCTGTGTTGATAGTTCTGTCTGATATCAAGCTAACGGAGGCCAGTGGAGGTAAAATAAATACGATTTATTCACTAACAAGTACATTGCCGATGAAAAGTCTTCACACCCGTTGGAATTTCCCCCTTTTATTGCTTTTCAACATCGAATCACGGTCAGTTTGACGTTTTTGACAAGAACAGACTCACTACATGTCAAAATAAAAACTCTTCTCTACAAAGTAATGTCAGTGAGTCCTTCAGAGGAGTCTTCGGCGTCTTCGTGGCCTCACTGGTCTCTTTCTTGCTCGGTCACTCGCTTTCTGAGGACGACAGCATGTGCCATATTCCTTCCATTTCTTAATCATGGATTTAACTGGACTCCAAGGGACATTCCTTTAATTGCTTTTCAACTCTGAGTCAGGGGTAATTTAATTTGGCTTTTTTGACCAGAATTTATAATAATAACGGATTTAGCTGAACTCCAAGAGATGTTCACTCACTTGGAAACTTTTAGTAACCCTTTTCATGGAGTGTACCTTTGTCGTCGTGGTGTAGTTCTGTCCAGGAGTACGGATCCACCAGTGACCGGACCTTCCAGATACAGGAGTCTTTTTTCTACAATCACTGAGACTCATTCATGGTTCAGTGTTGAAAAGCAGTAAAAGAGAAAGATTTCCAAGCGGTGTGAATACCTTTATATGCTACTGAGTGTGCCGTTCGTAGGATGGGATTTCGGACGCAGCCTGTAAAGCCTTTGAAACACTCGAGAAACTTGATCGTTATCCGACATACAGACATTTCCAGAATGTCGGTACAAGTCTTCACCTCCAGTGTTAATCCGTTTTCACACTATAGTGGAAAAACAGGAGTCTTGCGCTGCAGAACGTGCAGCAAATACCACCCCAAAACTGCCTTCGCTATCATGCTACCAGCAGTGTTTTCGTCAAAAAACGTTGGTAGCTCGATGTGCTTGCTGGTAATTTTCCAGAAGATGAGGCTGTCTGGTCTCGACATGGCGGTCTGAAGAGAGCGGGCTGGTTAGTTTTTCATCCAGTAACTCCTGTTGATTGTTTAAAAGTCATTTGGACAAATCGCATTTAAATACTCAAACAGTTCCTTTTGGGTTGGTAAGCACTCGGTGTTGGTGGTAACTACGAGCTGTGCTAGTTCCCTGCAGCATGCATCACATACAGTATATAGTGGAGCTGGTACAATGGCTGCAACTGTTCCTCCACCAAAGTGCTACCGACCGACACGACAGTGTTCTTTAAAGGCAGTGTTAAGGAGCCGGACCTTATGAGAAAGGTTGATGTTATTTATTGTTAAAGGCTCTTTAATGATGTCGATCACTGATGTTGGGTTACACAGATGGCGACAAAACTACCTGTAATGGAAACAGCAAACAGGTGTAAAGGTGCGATATATATATGTATGAGTATTTTATTTTGAAAGTTCAGTCACTGTTAACCAGGCAGAACCATCCAGTTGCATGTTTTCCAACCTTTTTCAGGAAATCCAGCAGAGAAAACAGAATATTTTACTGTGTAGTGTTAGTAAATACATGTCAGTGCGCACTTCCTGTTTAAGTGTTTTATCTTTAAAAGGTGCCCGTTATATGTCAACTCTTTGCACATTTGCTGCAACAAAGTCAAATATTTTTTTGGTGGTGTTGGGAAAGGCAACCAGTTTGAAAATCCAAAGTAGGAGAGAGGTTGGTGGCATCAGCCAACTGGTTTGGACCAAAACTACGTGGTCAGGATTTGGAAAATACCACTTAGTTTAGGTTTGGCACCAAAATATTCAGAGAAACGTCATGGTTTGGGTTGAAGTTTGATCTTTTTGCTACCTAGTCACCCTGCAGGTAAAACACCTGATGGGACGAGACTGATCTTTCAAAATAAAATACTCACGTATAGCGCCTTTAGAGTTGCGGCTCGTTGGCTGTTTCTAATCACAAGACAAGTTGACGAGGAGTTTCACGTGCAGATATGGAACTTTTAAGAGTTGGATTTGCGGCGTTAGAAGCTCAAATGTCTGACAAGAACCAGATATTGTGTTCATGTCTCGCTGGAACGGGCGTTGGGCCGGATTTATATCGACTCCACTGACAAACATCAAGATGCAAAATCAGTCACCTTGATCGAATCCTTGCTGTCAGTTTGAATTAAACTAAAACCTACACGGTTAGACGTTTGATCATTTTCTCTATCCAGGCATTATTTGTTACGTCTTTATTATCAGCAGGAACCTGTGCTCGTAATGACCAGCTGACCTTCACATTCCTGCACTTTGGTGATGCTGTGTTTAGCAGAATAAAGTATTTAGATCCTGAATACTCATAAATACAGAGAAAAATTCACTTGGAACATAAAGTTCAAGGTCCTGGACTCTTTTTGTCATATTACCTGACAGCTCTTGTTATATCTTACAATCATCAGAAATCAGAAAAATAGAAAAGATGAACATTGAATATCTCTGATTCTTTATTTTACAAATAGTTGAGAAGCCCTGGATTCCACCTTTCAGCTCTACGTAAACACTGCCTGCAGCTCAGCTGGAAAGTTGCTGAATTTTTGCCACGTGACTGTTGGTCACACCAATGGCTGTTTGGTTACGCCGATTTATAAATGAGGAATTTTAAAAGATTTTAAATGAAATATCATGATTTTGAGCTTAGATTTGGATCATTTTCGTGACCAGATCATAAAATTGGTTCAAGAACAGTCAGTTTGTGTTTGTTTTTACAGTTTCTGGCTGAAATGGTGTCATTTTGGGGATTTAAACAAAAAACAAGATAACATGGGGTTTAGGGTTCAGAGGGTTAAATTAGCTCGTGAGTACAAATCTTCTACGGAGAATTTATGAAGTGTCTTTTTAAGTCTGTTTGAATCTGTTGTTTTTTTGAATGCAGCCCGAACTTGCAATTATGTGCCGAGCGGAGACAGTTTAGAATCAACAAACACAAGAAACGAGGCGAAGGGAACAAAATGTGACGCAAAGCGTTTCGTTAGCGGGTCGAAAAGTTCAAAGCTTGTCTTGGACGCAAATATTGGAAGATGGAAGTTTCCAGCTGGTCGCAGAGATTCAATACCTTCTATTAAATGTCAATAAACACTGAATATAAAGGCAATAAATTATGACTAAACAATAAAATGTGACGTTTCAATAAGAGGAAGAGATGACTGAAGGAAAACTGTGCATCTATCTATCAAGCTATCTATCTATCGATCTGCTCAGACATCTCTTCCATTGCCAAAGCACATGTACGACGACGACGACAATACAATCACAAACTGGGTAATAATCTCTCTCTTCTTTCTGCTTCTCTGTAGCTGTCGCAGGTTGTTGTAAAAGTCGGGGGTTTCGGAGCTCGTCTGTGTTCAGTGTTTCCTTTTTAATATTTCCTTTGTTATTTTCGTCCGTGACTTCTGTGTCTGAAAACCTGATTTTTTTTTATTTATGTTTTTCTCGGAGTCCGCCTGTGGAAAGTCTGTGAGCTGCATGCAACTGAACCGCTTTACGCCTGCTGTTCGAGATGGTTTTCCAAAAAAAAAACAAAAGAAAAAAAACAAAAAAAAGTTTAAAAATGTAAACAAAAGGAGGAGATATTTGTCCTGCTGGCTTTTTCTTGCGATGCAGTGAGCCTCAGTTAACAGCTGTTCTTGAGTTAATGTTCGATTACTGTATTGTTTTCAGCTATTTTCATATAGCGCTCTTATTCCAATTACAAGTGCTTTAAGACTTTTTTTTTTTTAATTCTCTCGAATGTTTTAATTTGTTTTTTTGCTCTTTTTCTGTCCGTGCGTGTTTTTTCTTTTCTTTCTTTGCCCTCTATGGCGATGTGTATTCTAACCTCAATGAGGGACTTGTACAGTGTTACCCTCCGTTTTCCCCGTTCACCTCGATGGGAGTCAGACCTCGGCCACGTTTCCGTTTCAGCAGCTCTCGGATCGACGGACCGGGGGTTGCATTTCAAGCCGGACCTGCAGACTGAAGCTTCAGTTCAGAAAAACTCTCATTTTGGGGCGAAACCTGACCGGAGTCTGGTTTTCTTCATGTCCAGGTGCTGGTAAATGTTGATGTGATATTTGTCATTTTAAGGCCAATGTAATGCAAGTGATACGTGACATTTTACATTAATTTACTGGTCGTACACTCTTTTGCGGAATGAAAGTTTGCAAAGTTAGGAAAACCTCTTTTTTTATTGTAGCTGCTTCCTGTACTGCATCAAAATGGGTTCCCAAACATAGACCTTCACATAAAACGCCTAAAAGAACACCTTGCTGTATCGCCCACTTTCCTCAAAATGGGATCATAATTTACAAGATAAACATTATTCCGTATTGAAGGAGGCTTCGAGAACATAAACTAATTCAGAAAATGTTTCCTGAGGTAACAAACCAAGTGAGAAGTGGATAATACTTTCACAGACAATTTGCAACCAGAGGAGTCGCCCCCTGCTGGCTGTTAGAAGGAATGCAGGTTTAAGTCGCTTCAGCATCGGCTTCACTTCTCACACCTGAAAGCTACGTCCATACCTGATGTACAGTCGATGTTTGCGTGTACGAGGTTTGGTTTTGAAGGATCATAGCACTGCTGAAAGTTTTGCCACCGATTTCAACTAGCTGTGACTCAAAAAGCAGAAATCCACATAGTTTTTTGAGGCTTGAGCTGAAGATCATGCGTGCCAATGTTGGTGAAGATTAGCAAAACTTTTTCATAGCAGACGTTGGTGTCAGAGGGCAAAAAAAGTACAGACGCAGCCCCAAATTCAACCACATGGTGGTGCGACAGTGCTCGAGGCACAGGTACAAGATTTTTAGAGGATTTTCCTTTGCTTATGCTCCACCTCGACACCAAGTTTCATGGAAATCGGACAGTTAGTTTCTACGAAATCCTGTTCACAGACAGACAAACAAACAGCAATGAAAACAACCTGATTGGTCGAGGCAACCAGTAAATCTGACGCAAAATATGCAAAAACTTTACCGTCGGCTTCTTTAATTAACTGGTTTCAGATATAAATCGAAAAAAAAGTGCTGATTGTCTCCTTGATAAGAGTGAGACAGCTCAAATCTGCATGGCAAACAGTTAGCTTAGCACGAGGAACCACTCATTGTGCTCCGTTAACAGTTGTGGTGTTATATCCGGTTACCTTCTGCGCTACCGATCGTCTTCTGGTTGACGTCACAGCCAGAAAAATTACCTTAAAAGATAAAATAAATGGTTCACTTTGCGTTAGGCTGAGCATATATTTTGAAAAAGTGGCTGGGATTTATATTTTCTTTACCTTTTTGGTGCCACTTTGCATTGAAAAGCTCCACCTGCGAGGAACATTTACAGAACTGGATCTCCGGTCTGCAGTTTGGTTTCTGGGTTGTAATGATGTGGCCTTGGTCTGAACCGTGGCGGTTACATAATGTCACTGTACGCCTTGCGGCTGTAAAAATAAAATAAAAAAACGCCCTATGGAACCTGCCGTCTCCTGGTGAGCTACACGTGTGTGGGAGTACGCACACCTTGTTGCTGTTTATTTATGTACTGTACGGATTCATTTGGTTATTTATTTATTTATGTATTTATTTATTTATTTATTCCTGCGTCCTATTTATTGGTCGGGCACCTGTGGCGTATTTGACGGTTGTCAATACATTGCTGTGTGATGTGGAGGGATTGTCGGGGCTTCGGTTGGGTGGGGGTGGTCAGTGGAAAAAACCTCGCTGTGATACTAACTCTAACTGTTGCTCTCCTCGTATTGGACGACGATATAATCTAAGACCACTGTATGTATAACTGCTTGTCGTGAAGATGAACTACAATGTAATGACAATAAAGAATTAACACGATGATGACGCGCTGCAGGCGACCAGACTCCAATCTGTTCTTCATGCAGGGAACGTGCATAGCTTTTAGTTAACAGAGCTGCAGCACCACCGGCTGGACGAAAGTGGAACTGCATCAACAACCAGCAGCCACTTTTACTTTAAAGTATACTAAAAGTGAGCTTTTGTTTGAGGCCTACAGGTCAGAAACTGTTTTTTCACTGAAAAGTCCCACTTTTTTAAAAAAGATTGTTTTGTTTTACATATTCTCGAGGCATGTATTAGCTGTGGCACAACATAGAGCCTTATGTTGAGTATAAACTGAATAAAAATGGGATTATCTGTCCAACACAGTGCCTCGTAGAAAGCAGAGATATATTAATTTTATTATATAGACACAGTTATGAGGGTGAAATCACATGGTGTAATATCAGTGATTTAATGCAATTCTGGTAGAGGTGATATCAGTAATAGAAGAGAAGGAGACAATTTAAGGGCCAAATCAAACATGATCAAAGTATATTTCAGAGAGAACATCAGAACAACTATATTTATGAGGACGTTGTGATATTTAGTGTGTTTATGTTGATACTAGACCATCAAATTAATAAATTATAAACATTAACGTAAGATATAAGGAATATAAAATGTCGTTTTTCTGCGTGTAATGAGCCTAAATGGCCGCCAGTGGCGCTGCGGAGTCTTGTTTCCCTTTTGCTGCTTTTCCCTCCTTTTGCAAATCAACATCTGATGCCTTCACGTGCACCTCAAAAACTCGAAATTTACACCGTCTACGCAGAAAAACACAAACTATGTGGCGGAAAAAAAGGAAAAATAACCAAAGCATAACAAAGCTTATCAACATTAAGTCACACAAAGAGTTTAAATATGAATCACACGTTTGAAACAACATAATTTAACCCATTAATCATCAAGTAACTGAAGAACCAGGGTTGAAATTGAGTTTTGTGATCATTTTTATATATTGTACTCCTTCATTTAGCGCAATAACATCGGTATTAAGGAACGAAAAAATAATACTGAAATTAAGAAGAAGCAGATTGGCTAAATTAGTTGTCAATTTGTGCCGCGAGATGTACATTAGGTAATATTCGAGGCCAAGTAAACGCAGCAAACGGTTTGACCCACTTTTCACACACGCCACGGCAACGTTGTGCGGCTGCGTCAAGTTAGACATGAGAAAATAGGAACGTGCCGGAAATTTGATGTGCTGCCTTCAAAATAATTGCATAAAGTAAACCACTATTTGATACATGAATCATTCAATTAAGTTCATAAACGTGTCTAAAATATACCTTACTACTATAGATTTGTACGTCGTCTGGAAGTGCATCGACGTTTCAGGAAATGCAACATTTGCGCTTCCGTGGATTTTATTTTGGAAGTCCTACCGGGAAGTGCTACGTCTTCATTGCAGCTACCTTCACACTGACTCCGCGTGTTGATGCTGAAGAGAGGATCGAGGAGAAACAAGTTTTTCGCATCGCAGAGCCCCAAACTCAGGCCGAACCCACAGAAAAAATGGACATGAAGAAGAGGGTCTCGTTAGAACTGAGGCACCGGTCGCCCACGGAGGTGAGTAGCCCGCTTTGTGCTCCTCTTTACGGGGCTCGTTGCTGTGTAAACTTGGCCGGCCGGAGAAGGAGGAGGGGGGCTGGCGAGCACATGGCAGCGTGTCTGCAGCTCCAGAAAAGTGCCAAAATGCGTGTTTATCCATCAAAGCGCAACTCTGAGCTGATTTAAAACCTGCAAAACGATCAAACAAGTCGCATTTTGACGCTTCCTTTCGCCGCCGGAGGTGTTTATCCTCTCGGTCGTTTTATCGCTCGTAAACAACCCCGTCACGCAGTTGTTGCCCGCGTTGTTTTTATTTTCATTCTCACCCGTAGTTCGCGTTTTTGTTGTCAGAATTGTCCTGCAAGTTGTTAAATAATGAGTTCGGCATCGCGTGTTTGCCAAAACACCTTAAAGCGGCTCCTGCTCGGGCGCTAAAACCAACATCCGTGTCTCCCGGACATGGCTACTACCTGGATCTGTGTTATGTCGAAGTGAGGAAATGGTTTGTGTCGGCTTCTTTTTTGTAATTGGTCTGCGATTTTAAATAAACAAAATAGTTTGATTTCATCTTTACATTAATTTAAGCCGTATTTGTTGTGCATTTCCTTTAAAAAAAGAAAAAAAAAGAAAGTTAGATAACATGGTTATAAACGCCGACAAACGGCTCGTGATTTTGCGGTTTATCGTGTTAAACTAATGAAAACAAAGACATGCACTAAAGTTGAAATGTGTATTTATTAATTTTCCGTTAGAAAAATTGTTTTTATTTCGTTTAGTTAAATATGTAAAAACTCAAAATGCCGTTGTTTGTAGCGTCGCCACCCCAGAGATTAGTCGGACCCCGTGTTCGTAACGCGCTAAAGGCGCGTAGCCAGCGGCGTGCTAGCACTAGCATGCTAACGCGGCTAACTCGAGCGTCCCGGTTCTGTTGTGTTCCCGTCCGCGTTGCTCCCTGAAACTACCACGAACCAGGCGTGTGTCCAGTACCCGGTAAGCTGCCTCGACCCGGCGCGGTGAGAGAGAGGGAGAGCAGCAGGGACGCTAACGCAGCTAGCAGGGAAGCTAACTTAGCAGCGTCACGTGTGCTGGGAGTTTACAAACAGTCCGGATGCGCGTGGAGCCGCTCGGGTTCTGCTCAGCCCGCAGAAGGTTCGACACGTGTTTCATGGTTCATGACATGAATCAGCAACAGTTTCCTTAACTGACTAACAGGCCCAGAGGTTTGCTGCTGTTTCATATCAAACGTGCACATTTCTGCCGTAAATGATGTAAATAACGTGAGTTTTGTAATTTAACATATTTAAAAATTCAATGTAGGATTTATGTCTTGAAGCAAAACCCCAAAACCACCAGTGAGCTTAAAATCTATTTTTTTAAAAATCTAAAATTCCACTATTTAGAAAAACACCTGGATAAGAATGACACCAGAACATGAAAAGGCAAATCTAGTTTTTAAAAAAAAGAAAGAAAAAAAAATTTGAGCAAATTAGACACATACATTTAGGTGTAGAAGCCTGGTTTACAGTATTACTGAGTAAAAAATGTAAATTTGTGAACACACAGACTAATGGATAACAATCAAATATCAAGCGGTAATGTTTATGAAATTAAAAAAGAAAAACCCTTAAGAATACAGAATTAAAATCTTGATAAGAATAGCCATACTTATTCATTTAATTCATTTAGGTAATTAGGCTTTTAACGATTTACAGTAAGGATAATTGCAGCATCAGTATTTAATTTGGTTAGTTAATTAATAGCTCAGTGTTACCCTCCAGTATTTAGGTGTAAATTCATAAACACTCATAATAAATAGTTTGTTTAAAATGTATAAAGAACAAGTAAGAAAAAAGTATAAATATATATAAAATCAAGCAAAAGCAGAAACTTGACCAGAGCAATTAAACTTCAAATCACACATGATTTCGGTACATATCAGTTTAAGATGTTGGTTTTCTGCGTGTAATGAGCTCAATCAGCTGCTGGTGGCGCTGTGGAGCCACAAACAGAGAGAAATGCCTCAGTTACTCACCTGTGACATGAAGGGAAAACTTCACCAAACTTAAGCTTCACGTGGTGATAAATCATCTGAATCACTCCGTCCTAAATGTTTAATTTATTAATTTATCAGCTGTTAAAAATAATTCAAGACTTTTCTGCTGAACTGCAGCCTGTTTGTCTTAAATGTCTTTTTTTTTTTTGTTTTTTAATAAATCACACATTTTCCACATTAATCAGCTTTCACAGGTTCTGAATCTTCGACACAGTTGAATTTATTTACTGATAATCTGCTAATCTAATCAGTTATATTAATTGTTTTATCGTATTATGATGGAAGTGTGACATAATAATAATAAATAACTGCGGATGTTCACACAGTCTTTTCCATCATAGTCGCACATTTAACTCTGCAGAAGCCTGAACATTCGCATTAGTTTGATTAATTATATCATTAAAAGTTTTCTCTGAACACACGTTCATCTTCAACCATTTCTCTTTTACTGGAATTTTGTTTTATTTGCACATTTTTATTGTTTAATTTTCTGCCTCGTTATATTAAAACTGACTTTAAAAGCCTTGAATGTAACTTCAGAAACCTTTTAAAGCGTTTCCTATAAAACGGTTTTGAATTATTACGTTCTACATAATATTTAAAGATATTTTTTGTGTCGTATCAAACGTCTGACTGTACATTAATAAAAAAAACACACGTGGGCGTTAATTTGTCGTTTTTAATTCGTTAATCTGTCGGTAATGTCAGGAGACCTGCTGGGAAGCACCAAGAAGAACGTGATCTCGGTATCAGACATTGTATGCGGATTAAAAAACAAAAAATCGAGTGGAAATACCCCCGAAGATGAATCGTAGCTCGAGCTCGAGTTAGATGACTGTGTCGTTAGTCATAGCGACCCGACGAGCTTCAAACCAGAACTCTGACGTCATTTTGAAACCAAGTTCTTAGTTTTGCCCCAACAGTCGCTCACAACGTCTCTTGAAATGTTTTTTAAAACCTAAATGCCTTACGTTGGCTTCCCGGAGCCGCCCTGTTTTAACCCGACCCGCCTCCCTCTGCTCAGGTCCAGGAGCTGGTTCTGGATAACTGCCGCTCCAGCGAAGGAAAGATCGAAGGAATCACAGAAGAGTTCTCGAACCTGGAGCTGCTCAGCCTCATCAACGTGGGCCTGACCAGCGTAGCGGACGTCCCCAAGCTGGGCAAACTCAAAAAGGTACCAGGACCCAACAGAACCCAGCAGAACCAGACCCCAACAGGTGTCTGGTTCCAGCCTCTGAAACGTGGCGGTTTGATGCTTTTCTTGCTCGTGTATATATATAACGAGTGAACTCAGACAATTAACTAATTAGTCGACTGGGCCAAAGACAATCAGCCACTAATTAATATTTTGTTGTTTTTGGTGTTTTTTCAGCAGAAATGTTAAAAATTTTCAGCATTTAACGTCTAAAAACAAACGATTTCTGCTTTTCTTTGTGATTGTGTCGCAGAAATTATTACAAAACTAACAGAAGAATAACGAGCTGCTGTTTAGGTTTTGTTTTAATTGTTTGGTTTTTATTACACAAACAAAAGTGAGGAAAAAATGTCATATTTGTAGATTCTGGCATCATTAAAAAAAAAAGCTTCAATGATTCGTCAGTCAGTTTGATGACTGACGGAAGAATCGTATCTTGATATTTAATGGTTGTTTCGGCCATTTTTTTAACGCAAATATTGTTGAAAAAAACTCAAGTATTTGCAGGTTTGAATGTCTCAAAAGAAAAGATTTTTGCTTTTCTTTTATTAAATTTAAAAATAAATTCCAACTGTTAGTCAATTAAGAAATTAGTTGAGTATCGGACACTATTTTAGACTTTTTTTGGCCTTTTTTAAGCGAAAAAATTTCAAATATTTGCAGATTTAAACATCTGAAGAAGAAAGAAAATCCACTTTTCTTACTGACGTGTATAAAAATCGAGCTTAGTGAGATTCTTTAGTCAATCAGACGACTGGCCGAAGAGTATCGAGCAACTGTTTAGATATTTCCGGCCATTTTTTAAAGCAAAAACAAATGTCTAAGAGTTGCTGATTTCAACATATGACGGGAAAAAAGAAAAGTTCCTGCTTTTGTAGTGCAGCTGAACGATTAGTTAATTAATTAGGTGACTTAGAAAAATATTAGAAGCTGCTGTTGATATTTTATGAATAGTTTTGGGTATTTTATGAGCAAAAATATTGAAAAAATTTCAATTATTTGCAGGTTTGAACGTCTCAAAAGAAAAGATTTTTGCTTTTTTTATCATAAAAAATCAAACAAACAATCAGTTAATAAATCTGATAAAAGAATTCGAGACGTTCTGGATATTTTACTATTTTTGTGGCTGTTTTTTTTTAGCCAAAAATAATAAATAAATGTCTGGGAGTCAGATGAGTTCAACATCTAAAAAAGATTTCTTGCGTTTCTTCGTGAGCTAAAACTACGAGTCAATTAATCAATTAGACGACTGACAGAAGAGTAATTAGCTGCTGCTCTGAGGTTTTTTTGGTCTTTCTAGTTGATTGACAACTTAATAAGCTGCTATTATTGTGGGATTTTTGGACATTTTTCAACACTTTTTACACAAAAGCAGCAAAGAAAAGTAACTGTTGGATGAATTAATAATGAAAACAGTGATTAGTTGCGGCCTTTTATGAGTTAACGAGACGCGTTTGAGTTCTGAGGCGAGTGTTCTGATCCGACAAGCAACCTGAAGATTGTCGACTTCCACATTAAATCACAGTTTACTGACGTTTTCCCGCCAAAAACGAATCCTCTGTTCAATTAGAAAATAATCGTTTGATGCACATTTAGTTAAAATAAACATCCTCGCTTTGCTTTTTACGTCAGACATTTGTCCTCTTTCCTTTGTCACCTTCTTTTATGATCTACGACGTGGCCGATTGCCTCTCGTGTGTCTCCTTGTGCAGTTGGAGTTGAGCGACAACAGGATATCTGGAGGCCTGGAGGTCCTGGCGGAGCGACTGGTCAGCCTAACGCACCTCAACCTGAGCGGCAACAAGTTCAAAGACATCAGCACCCTGGAGCCGCTGGTGGGTCGACTGAGCGTCCGTCACATTCACACCAAAATAACATAAAACAATAAGTTAGGTTTTTCTCACATTAGTGCAGCTTGTTTCTGCTTCTTATTTGGATCCACGTCGTGTTACTTATGCGACGCAGCAGAACAAAGTGGATTTACTGTGAATGTTGTTGGTTCTTTTCCACCGGTGTGTTTGTGAAAATGGATTTAATTGCTCTCAAAGTGTCTTAAAGCACTAAAGTCACATTTTTAACCAAAAAGCAAAAACCCTCAGATGATGTTACAGTTCTTCAAGGTTAATTTTTCACACATTAATGTAGCTTAACTGATGAAAACACCCCCAAAAACTGTCTTAATCTTTTACTTCCTGCCTCTAATTTGGAGGCAGGTCGTGTTAATTGCTGTTAAATCTGATTAGTGAGTTAATTAGAGGCCTGGCAGAAGAGTAGGAAGCTGCTATTTTAATACTTAATGATTGTTTTGGCCTTGAGTTGCAGGTTTTAATGTCTAAAAAAAGAGGATTTTCTGCTTTGTTTTTTTATTTAGTCCAGCTGAAACCATGAGTCAATTAACCAATCAGGCGACTCGTAGCATCTTTGTGTGTTTTTGTGCAACAGCTAATTGATTAATTGACCAAGAAGATGTCACTTTATGTTATTGTAGACGTTCTGTTTCTCTCTGACTGGTGTGATTGTGAACATGTGTTGAATTCGAGGCCGGCAATCAGACAGCTGGGGCTTTTTAAAAAAAAAATTTTAAACGACGGCGTTTGTCTCGTCCCACCAGAAAAAGTTGCCCCAGCTGAAGAGCCTGGACCTGTTCAACTGCGAGGTGACCAACCTGGCCGACTACCGGGACTCCATCTTCAAGCTGCTGCCTCAGCTCATCTACCTGGACGGGTACGACGCCGATGACTGCGAGGCCTCCGACTCGGACGGCGAAGGAGACGGAGTCGAGGACGAGGACGAAGACGGCGAAGGTAAAAAAAATAACAAGACGTTTTACTGCTTTACGACGTCGTACAGCTAAATCAGTCACAGCTGTTGTGAGGTTTTGAAGTTTTCAAGCAATCGTGGTGAAAAAATGTTTAAATATTTGCAGATTTAAACATCTCATTTAAAATATTAGAGCGGAAAAAAATGAATAATAATAATAATGAGCCACTTTTTAGATGTTTTACTGATTTATTTGGGACATTTGAATTTTTTAAGCACGAACAGAAAAATGTCCGAAGCAGATTTAATGTCTTCATCAGAGGAGATTGTTTTGGTCATTTTCAAGCAATAATATGTTTTTAAAAAAGTTATTTCAGCTTCTTAAAAAGACGATTTAGTTGCTTTTCTTTGTGAAGCTTCAGTGAAGTGACTTCCAGCAGCAAACAGGAAGCGACTATTGATGTGTGATTGATAGTTTTGTTTTGTTTTCAAGCAAAAATATGAAAAAAAAGTTGGATTTTTAAACAGCTTAAGACATTATTTCTGATTTTTTGGGTCATTTATGTTATTAGAGGTCATATAGTTGACTGACAGAAGAATGAAAAGCCACTATTTTGATATTTCGCTTATTGTTTTTGGCCATTTTTCGTAAAAATAGTGAAGTAATGTCTTAGATTTGTGGATTTCAGTGTCTTCCGTAGAGATTTTCTGCTTTTTATGTCATATGAAAATGAATTAATCAACTGTATGACTAAATAGAAAATAATAACTTATTGTTTTGGTATTTTATTAATAGCTTTGGTCATTTTTAAAGTATACTTAGTGAAAAATGCCATAGATCTGTGGACGTCGACATCTTCAAAGGAGAAGATTTGCTGCTCTTGTGTCGGATCGGTTGAACAGACGTCGCCTTCAGCTCGGCTAACATCGGGCTGTGAACGCCGCGGATGTTCGTCCGTTTACCTTTGTTCACGCTGTTTGTCCCCGTTTGTGTGTCGCAGAGGGAGAATCCGAGGACTTCGAGGAGGAAGAGGAGGACGAGGAAGACGTGGTGGCCGAAGACGACGACGATGACGACGACAGCGGAGACGATGAGGTGAGGCTCGGGTTAGGCTCCGAGCGTTGAGCGTTGGGCCTCGTCGTCGACCAACAGCAGACCGGACAGCAGGGTTTTTAAGACATTAACTCTCAATCCTCTCGTTCCGGCTTCTTAAATGTGACTGTTGTTGGTTTTTTAACTCTCGACATTTTGGGGCATCGTCTCAGCGAGAACCAACAGTTTTAACCTTTTAGTGTAATTCTAAACACCGACGTAGCGTTCGGCTTCATCAAACCGTCTTGGACGACTTTTCTTACAGCGTCGTTCAGATTAAACTCTTATGAACAGAATCCGGTCGTGTTCAGTCGACGGTTCAGCGTGTTTGGGATGATGTACGGGAGGCTTCAGGTCGATTCATCCCTGCATCGCCATCGAACTCGCTTTTTTTGACGTCGTTTGTTTACGTCCAAAACACAAGGTTTCCAAAAGCCTCAGTTTCAGGGAACCTCGTTGGCTTCCTGTCAGTAGATGATATAAATAATCCGTCTTTGTGCAGGACGGGGAGGTGAACGGAGACGTGGACAGCGAGGACGACGATGAGGATGACGACGACGAGGAGGACGACGGTGAGCAAATCCTTACAGATCTCGATATTAGTGCTCGATTTTCTTCAGTTGCTGCACATTTTGTTCATTTTTAAAGAATCGTTTCAGTGAAAATCTGTTTATTTTTTACCTTGTTAACATGTAAATATGCGTTTTTTTTTTTTTTTCTTTTTTTAAACCTGCTGTAATATGTTAAATATGATCAGGGCTTCATACGAAACAAACCCACAGAACCGATCCTGCCACTTTGCAGGGTGACGTTTCCTTTGTTATTATTATTATTATTCAGAATCTGTTTGAGCGGATTGTGAGCCGGTGTGTTCGAGTTGGTGCTAATTTAATGGGGAAAAAACAACCTTTAAATCTCTAACTTTGACACACAGAAGAGTTTTTAATGCGTTAAATCGGGGAGTTTAAGGATGCTGGACGGTTTACGGTTTTTGCTAGTTGCTTTTTTTTAGATTTTAAGTGAAGGGTGATGAATTGTCTTGGCTCTGCTGTGAATTAAATGTAAATAAAGTAGTTTTATGGCAACTTAAGACTTCAAACATGTTGCTAAACGTCTGAATCCAGAGTCGAATGAAGCAGCAGCAGCATTATTAAAATAAACCGTATTTCTTCAGCTTTCTGTGTATCCATACATCAGTATATCTGTCTTATACCAGCTCAGACAGGAGATAAAGTATATTAAGGATTTAGATTACATTAGGAAGAAATACAAAGAATGCGACGCTGTTTAACCTCCGATGTCTCTCCTCTCCAGACGAGGACTCGTCTCCGGCCAAAGGAGAGAAGAGGAAGAGGGACCCCGAGGACGACGACGATGAAGACGATGATTAAAGACTCCCTGAACCCCCGCTGACCTCCCGCCCAGCCTCCCACCAACGCTCCTCCTCCTCCTCCTCCGCTCGGTCCACTGCATCCCGTTTCCGAAGCCGGTCTCCTCCCGACCGACGCCGTCAACTTCTAGATTACCTCGTTAATCGCTCAGTCCGTCATAGTTCACGATCCAGACCTCGCTCCCCTTGATTGTCCTCGTCACAACAGCCGACAGAGCCCCGAGAATGCAACGAAGCCCGTTAGCGACGCGACGAACGTTTCAGTGTTTCTGAGACTCCCTCACGTTACTCCTTTACGTCTTCTGTTTTTGTTTTTTTTGTGAACTCAGGAAAGTTTGTCAGAAATCGACGCCTTTGAGTACGTTTTGTCCGGCCAACGTTTCTTTAAAAAGAACCCAAATTTATGACAAAAAAAAAACCTGCATTGTATCTTGATATTTAGCATTTTTGTTTGGAAACCTGAAAATTTAAGTTGAAAAAAAAAATCATGTAGCAATGTCCATCTTCAGTTTTAGACAAAGCAAAGTCTCAGTTAAGAGATAAAAACTTTTTTCTTTTTTTTTGCATCTTCTGGTGTTTTTCAGGATTAAGTCATCGAGCCTCGTCTCTCCCCGTCGAAATAAAACAAGATTTGTTAAACCTCAACTCCAAAACCCTGCTTTTTGTAAGAGCCAGAAGTGTCTCAGAGGCGAGTGCAGGTTCGAATTAACCGAGACGCTTATTTTGCAGTCAGAACAAAAACTTCAAACAAAACCATCAGGTTCCCGAGAAAACTTAGCAATAAGCTTTCCAGTGAATTCCACGATCGGAAGTTGTGTTTTTTTGGTGTTGCAGTTTTTTGCATGAGAATAAAACTTCCCCAAGAGCCCAAAACATGAAAAACACATGAATTAAAATGGCACCAGTGAACGGAAATAACGAGGGACAACCAAACCTTTTGATTCCTAATTTCCCCGCCTCCTCCGTTCCTTCTTCCTCAACGCGCCTCTCTGACATCATCACTCTGGGACTGAACCAGCAGCTCTGATGTCATCACCGTGCTCCAGACGAGCTTTGTGATGTCATCGACGTGAACATCCGAGACCCCCCTGAAAACCCCCCCTCCTCCATCCCTCTTCCCTCAAGGCCGAGCGCGCTCAGGGCAAACTGTGTTCTCTCTTTTTTGCCAACAGAGCTTTTTAAAAGAAATATTTTTTCAGAGAAAGTGTTTTTTTTTTGTTTAATTTTGTATGGTTGTCTGGGGACACGCTCTCTCTCTGGTTCCCTTTCCCTCCGCCTCCCTCTTTGTCTCTGCCTTGTTTCATTTCTTCCTGCTCAGAGAGATCCAGTCGTTCCTTCACTCTTACACTGACTAGTCGAGTTTGTGTTTTCTTTTTTTTTTTTTTTACTTTCTGTAAGTTAAATGAAAAACAAACAAAAAAAAAACATACAAAAAGGACTTTGTAAATAAAATCTTAACATTTTGCTCCTGGCGTTTTCTCTCTCTCTCGCCTTTTGTGTCCTTCTTGTTGTCTTCACTTTGACTCAGTTTGTCATAAAGAAGCTCGACCCTGGTTCGGTGTCGAGGTGTTCGGTAGTCAAACACGTTTCCAACTGTCTAATTTTTAAAAACGTGGGACTCCAAAAAACTTGATTTACTGGGTTATGAAGCTTTTCTCACAGTTTTTGTGCGACACCACATCAAAATGAAGGGTCGCACCACCGAGCGTGTCCTGGTGCTTAATCGAGGATAACTTGCTTGACTCAAAGCTTTAATCGGGGCTAAACTGAGAAAATAAATGCTAACTGGAACCAAGAACCGTTGAAGAACCATCGTAGTGTAACAGTCTTGTGCTGCCAGACCAATCCTTGAGTTCTGTGTAGAACGCTCTGGTGCACCTCAATGTCATTATGCTGCCGTGGCAAAAACAAAATCTTGTGTGGTGTGTTTTTACTTCTTTTAACCAATCGCAACCATCTTTTTTTTTTTTTTTAACTTTCCACTTGTCAGTTGCTGCTCAGAGATTGTTTCCTGTAGTTCAGGGGGTTTAGAAAATGGGCCTATACCTGCAGTCTACGTCCAGACTAGTTCCACATAGAACCTTTTTAGCTAGAGTTTGTTTAATGCAACCCTACAGATGCTCCAAAGAACCATCCAAGACATGGTTCCTATAGTTGCCATAATTCATGCTCCAGAAAAAGGTTCTTTATTGGACCATTTTCCCAAATCCAGACTTAATAAACATTTAAGTAGTACAGCAAAAAAAGAGCTCACTTCCATGAGAACTATTGGTTCTGGACTGTCGGTCAGAGAGAACGTTGTATTGTGTTGGACAGCTACTACGGTTTTCTGACGTTTTAAAGACCAAATGATTCGTTGATAATGACGATAATGGTTCTCTGGAGCCGTCATTTATTGCCATTATCTGTGAATACAGGTGACATTACTTTGAAGAACTCTTATTTTTCTGAGGGTAGGCTAGAAAATGTGCAACAAGCACATCAAATATGTTGTAATTGCCAGTTGACTTTGGCATATCTGGCGACTTACGGCGGTGATCACTGTACGTGTTGAAGTTATTTCGAAAGCTTGACTTTTTCCTCGTCAAAGCCGCACCTTCCAGTTTGTGTATCGGCTCCACTGTTGCAGTGGTAATGAAGGAGATTTAAAAGTCGATGCACTGATCGGCACGATGTCTGTAGAGCGTAACTTTTAGGTTATTTCAACCTGCTGTATCTCCCATTCATATGGTGTCTCTTTGGATCAGACGAACTTTGCATGTTGTAGAGATTGGGGGTGTATCGGATCTGAAAATGCGAGTTGATATTTTAGGAATTTGCCTTCAGACTGAGTCACATGGTGAAACTGCAACAATAGTTTTGTTTCTTACAACATCCACATCGTAAGAGGATTGTCGAGGATAAAAAGAAAACGAGCTTTTAGAAGAAACACAACCACAAGAACCGTGTGACGGTATGAGCCGTGTGTCTTTTATTGGTTGGAGATGATGGCTTATAGCAGCGGTTGGATCAGAAGGTCGCCCTCATGTTGTTTCTGGTGTTCTTTATCTCCAGCTCCAGCTGAGCGATCCTCACCTGCAGAACAACGGAGACACTCAAATGTAGCACATTGGTTTCTTTTTCAGTCTGTGAATTCACATGATGGTCTCCCGTTTGAGTACTAACGTCTTTGTGGTTGAGCTCTTCCCTCAGGCCTCGGATCTCGTCCTGCTGTCTGTAGAACGCCTGCAGCAGCTGCAACACAAACAAACCCGGCGTGAGTTTCAGGCGGAGGAGGAACTCGGCCCGCGGCGTTCGCAGGATTCCCGCCCGACCTCGCTCTCGGTGGTCGGCGGCGGCCTCTCGGCAGGTTCGCAGCAGTGCGGGGTGCAGCAGTACGTCCACAGCGGGATCTGGGTCTCGTCTGGCTGCCAACCCGACAGATCGCTCACGTCTCTGGGGTATTTGGCGTCCTGGTAGGCCAGCTGCTCCTCCAGGAAGGCCTCAACAGAGAGAACAGCAAGAAAACCACCAGACAGAGCTCAAAGTCTCAAGTTTCCAACAGGTTTTAGGGATCTAGTGTGGGGTCTTGTTCGGCCCAGATTATTTGGTAATAATATCAGTGGAATTTGCAATATTACCTTTTTTTTCAGTAATCTGTGCCATATGTCAGATATTTAACTTTAATGTGGGATGTGATATTGATATTGTGTGTTATTACTCGACTACCTCAGTCTTACTTTTCTATTCTATTCCCTATTTTGGAATATTTATTCTATTTTTAGTGATGTATCGTTCTCATATCTTACAGCAGTGTATTTCTTATGGCAAAAGAAGTTCCTTTGGGATTATCCACGTTATATCTGATTTACAGATTCAGTCATAAATCTCCTGAACTTAAAAATAAATGTTAAAAAATCAAAAGTGTTTGATCTTTCTAAGTTAAAATCGGGACGGTTACAGTTGTCGTACGACCACCTGGTGAAGGCGACACCGATGCCAAGCTACGCGAAGCAAGAATACAAAAGGTTACAACAAAGCTAAATTAAATGGAGAACTGTTTTAATAAGTAGTTGTGTACAATTCAACAAACCAGTAGGTTATTGCTTCCAAAGGGATACGATCCAGTGTACATCTGTGAGTGGTTGTTAGAATTTAATGTAAAATGGACCCAAAGTGCTTCTGGACCAGTTCTTCATTTGTGGCCAACTTTAACTAATAATTAAAATCATGTAAATTAGTGAAATCACATCTACTGCCTTCTACCTGCTCTATAAAGTCCAGGTCCGTCCCCGACACGGCGCCACCAGCTGGGCCCATCTGGAACCGGAGGGAGCTCAGCTGCCTCACCAGCCCCCTCTCAGCCTGGGTTTCTGGGTAAGGGTTGGCGACTCGAGTCCCAGGCTTCAGGGACATCAGCACCGGGCCTGGTGGAGAGATGGGTCATTAAGAGGGACGGATCAGTCGCGGTTTAAAGACGCCGACGGACTACTGACCCCTGTTGATTCCCAGCAGCCACTCCTGAGCCGTCATGGCCGCCTGGTTTCCAGCTGTCATCGGGTACAGATCCTCTTGGAAAGTTCCTGACTGGACACATGGCGGGAAAGCACAGTTTTTTCTGTCATTATCATCAGTTATAACATAAGAAAAGCAAGTTGAACGCTAACCTGTTTTCGTGGTACGATCATCGACAGCGGCTCCACCAGGTCTTTGATAGCGATCAGACGGTAAAACCGGAACACCTCGCAGGCGCTGACGTCCAGGCCACGCTTTGGCATCACACCTGTAGAAAGGGGGGACGGTCAACAGAGAGCGACGGCAAACCTGCCAAGAGCTACGCTGGGTGTTTGTTTGTTTTGCCTGATCATGTTTATTGATGTAAGGATTAATACAACTTGCTTAAGTGGGTCTTTTTGTTTGTAATAAGTAACTAAAGTTAATATGTACTTTAAAAATTAAGCATTTGTAGAAGTACTTCTGTTGAATGAGTTATTTAAGTTTAAGTTGCGCTAAAGCAAGTACTTGTACAGCTAGTGACAGCATGTTTTGTCTAAAACACATCTTGGTACTGCTGGTCAAGTTAGTCTTTTAAAAATAAATATAATACAGCTTCTGTAGGTGGATCTTTTTGTAATACATATTGGTATATATAAGTGAAGCAGATACCGTAATTATTTGTGGAGCTACTTGGTTCATTAAGTTAACCAAGTTGGGCTAAAACAAGTATTGGTGCTGCTAGCCAAAGTTAGCATGTTGTGTCTAAAATACACTGTGGTATAATTGGTTAAAACTGTTCATTTTCTAAAGATAGTGTTGTTACAGTTTGGTTCAGTTTGGTCCTTTTCCAAAATAATAATATATTGGTTCAGATAACTAAGTTTATTTTTTCACCCAATCATGCGTGGGTTACTTAGTGCTAAAGTTTGAATTAAGTAAGTTGGGCTAAAGAAGTATGCCCGAGGTAAATAAGTTTGAAGAGTTAACTTAGCTGAGAGAAAACAAGCACTGGTACATTAACCCAAAGGTGACTCTTTTTGTATAAAACACATCTTGGAGCAGTTGGTTCAAAGTGGTCCTTTACCAAAGTAAGTGTTTGGACACCTTGCTAAGTGGGTCTTTTGTATAATAATATATGCTATAGCAAAAAAAAACATGTATGAAAGCAGATATTGCCTGCAGGTCTGAGTTTTCTGCTAGTGTCAGTTTTATCGTAGGTGTGCAGAGATTTTGTTTGTGAGTGTTTGTTGATCTGACCGAGTCCTTTCTGTGGCAGCAGCGACCGGTACTCTGTCAGGAAGCTGATGTAAGGTTTCTCAGCACTCAGCTCGTAGTACCGGATGTTTCCATCGCCCTGCAAACACAAAGACGACACTTGATGTGACCCTTAACCTCCTTTTTGCCGCTTCTGTATAATACATCAAGATTGCTACTTAAGGTTGGCTCGGCCCATTCGAACCCATCCTGCTGCAGGGAAACAGTCCAAACTGCAAAGACGTCTGGGTGAATGTGGTATTTGTTCTATGACCTTTCCAGCCAGGTACAGCATGTGCGTGTCCGGGTCGAAGAACGGGAAGAGAACTCCCGCAGAACCGTCCAGATCTTCTTCATATAGAGGCTCAGATAAGTCGTCCTGCTCACAAATACATGCAGACAAAGTGAGAAAGATGTAACCGAAAAACCACAACCACAGTTTGGAAAATGCTAAAATTCATTCTGACTAAGTTCAAACAGATGACGGTTTTAACTGTCCAGGCTTCTGCTATCAATCGATTGCAGGAGAAAGCAACTCGTCCTTTATCGTCTGACTTTTGTTTTTTTTCATATTTTCATCATTTCATAAGAGTTTCTTATGCACAAATTGAAAATGTGCATAAGAACAGGCTCTTAGAGGCACATCCTACATTTTGGGCTCTAGGCTTCCTGAATCCCTGCAATGAAAGCATCTTACAGTTGAACCAAACTTGCCAGATCTACTAATAAAGTGTCTCAAGGCTGTGCTGCTTCTTGAGTTTTCAACTGACCAGCGAGCAACTAACCAAGAATGTTTCAGGCTCACCAGCAGATAAACAAACCCTTCTCAGTGTAGAGGGTACAGGTCTGAATTTGTTGGTTACAAAATCCATTAAACATGATGCAGCTCAATGGCTCAGTTTAATCTGTTTTTCATACATTTATATTTATGTCCCACCACCTCCAAACTATGTTGACTTTCCAAGGATGCTGGTCACTGAACACTGAACAAGGTCAGAAAAAAGCTCAGATAAAAGTTAAAGAGAGAAACTGTCTTACGGGGTCCCAGAGGACGATCTGTCTGTGGTTCCAGGGCGAGCTGCCGGTGGACAGAAGCATCTTCAAGGCTCCGATGTATAAAACTTTGTTGGCTCTGTGCGACTTACTGCTGGATACCTGTAAGATCTTTCCCGTCCGTGGGTCCAGGACTCGAACCCGTCTGTCTTTGGACGTGACCGCCAGCCTGCTGCCGTCGCTGTTGAAGCTGGCCGACAGCAGCAGCATCTCGGACGGGTAGCGGTGGTGGACGGGCATCAGCACCACCCGGACCGGGTGCCTGATTACTGCACCTGCCTGGGATACATCCCAGAGGAGGACCTGGATTGGTACCAGGGACAAAGTCAGGCTGGTTCTGGAGGGTGAGTTTATAACTCCACTTTGTTCACTTTGGTCAAAGAAAATATTACTTTCAGTAAATGTCTTTGACCTTGTAGTCATAGGCGGAGCTCAGCAGCAGGTTCTCGGCAGTTGGATGCCACTCAATCAGCGCCACCCTCCTGGAGTGACCCATCAGAGTCTTCCTGGCCTTGGTGAGGTTCTGTTGGACCCCACAGACCGGTATGTCCCAGATCTTCACCTGCAACCAACAAACACTGATTTTTAAGTGCTGTGCTTGTGAAGACCCTGTCAGTACGACACTGACCATTAAACCCAACCTCAGCCCCAGATTAACACAAACACAGAGAATGGCGTACAGTGCAGTCCTCAGAACACGAGGCGATGCAGTGATCGTCGAACGGGTTCCACTTGACGTCCAGAACTCTGGCGCTGTGACCACATACCCTCGGGTGCTGAGGGTCCACCCTGCCTGTCTGAGACACAGCACAACCACATTTTACCCACTCAGGACTCACCTGCATTTAAAAATAAAACACGTTTGTTTAAGTTGCAACAACTTACATGTTTCAAACAGAAAACCCAAGTCACGTGATGGAAACGTTCTACATATATCTGCTTTCTTGCTGAGAGTTTAAAGAGACGAATGAATCCACTGTCATGTAGCTACATATGAAGCTACAGCCAACTAGCTTAGCTTAGCATAAACACGTGGTGAAGCCTGGCCATCCAAGACTATGGCCCCAGACCTGCATCTCTTCTCCTGCAATGCAGGATTCTAGATTACTTAAGGCACACTTTAACATGTAAATCTCACTGTTGTCTCACTGTGATATAAATGACCTTACTTTGCCTCAGACACAGTGTCTCATATTTTATATTCACTTTACTGTGAAATAACGCAAAAGCAGCACAATTATTAGGTTAAAAGCGAAAGATTTCTGCCCTGGACTGAGGCCTGAATGTGTTACTACCCGACCAGCACCTTTAGGACTCGCTATTTGAAGCGTATCTGCAAACACTTTTCATCTAAGTCTTGAAAAGAATGCAGTCGGGTCGTAATGTTGAAATGGAAAAGGCCCACAAACATGATGGATGGGCAGAACCAGGAAAGACCCGCCTCCGGCACACTCGGTCACCACGGCGATGAAGCAGGGATTGGCTGAGCAGTAGTGGTTGTCATGGACGCTGCGTGTGATTGGCACCCCGTCGTAGCTGTGCTCCTTGGTGGCGGGTTTTCCGAAGACGTGGCGAAACTTGGAGCAGCGGAAAGACGAACGCCACGACATCTGAAAGCACCACAGGAGGAAGGTTAGCGGGTTCTCAGATTTATGTTAATGTTATTAATTTAGTTTAAGGTAGGGTTCAGATACGGTTTAGGTACAGGTTATGTTCAGGTTTAACTAAGTTTAGTGTAAGGTTTAAGGTTAAGATACAGTCAAGTTAGGCTTAGATTAGCTTAAGTTTATGTTGATCCTCTGAACCCAAAGCAGTGTCCAGGTTTTTTTCTGCTTCTGTCTTTTTACAGAACCTGTTTAGAATAACGGTTTACCTTTTGCAGAGTTTTAAATGTAACATGAGTTTGATTAAATATCTCGATTTTAGGGTTTGATTAAGTTTCCCAACGGAACCACACGTCAGATTTGATTTGTCCAAGGACTGTCGGAAAGTTAAAAACTACAGATTCGTTCAGTTTTTCTACTTTCTGACTGACAAATGGTATAATTTTGGTGTTTTTTTGTTGTTGTTTTTTTTCTTTAAATAAAAATATATATCTTTAAAACCGTCAGTTTTTAAAATCTAACTTAAAACAGTGATATTTCGTCAAAACCAAATTCCACGTCTCAGTTAAAAATTTGCCAAAGATAAACGCTTTGCACTAATAAAATTCAGGATAAAACAAAAACAAGTCCGTGTTCCTTTCCACAACTGTGAACCGACGGGAACCTCAGCTACGACTGACAGTCACGTGACAAAAATTATTTTCAGCTGAACTGCAGGCAGTGTTAAGACATAGCAGAGAGGAGACAAGTATTATAGGCAAATAAGAAACGTAAAATGTCTATAGTGGAGTCACTTTTTCTTTACACTAAGTTTTTGTGTTTGTTTCTAAAAAATAAACATGTAAACAAATTTAACTTTAATATATTTTTGTAATACCTGTGGGCATTCCGACTGGTTCATGACTTTATTTTGTAGATCGAACGGCCACATTAAACTCTGTACCGACGTTTCAGCGCTGACAGTTTGAATATGTAGCAAATCAGCAATGAAAGCTTTTGTCTTGTATTCATTCTCACTGTGTTGGAACATTTCTTCATGCTTTTAGTGTATCTGTACAGTTTGAAACAGGTCTGCTTCACGTACAAAACGATCTGATGCTGATTTATATTAAAATTTATTTAAAACGGAACTGTAGACAGAGATTACAGATAACCTGCAGCACATTGTGACAGCCTCCTCCGTCATAATTAAAATTTAAAACATCTGAGACGGCGTTTAAACAGTTTCCAATAACTTGTTGTGTTTCCGTAACTTCTTGTGCAGACTGATGATGATCGAAGCAAAGTTATGGTCTGATGACGGTAAATCCCTAAAAACATTACGTAACCTCAATGCAGTGACATCTGACGGAAACACCGCTCTGTGCGCGTCGAGCCGACATAATCTCATAATGGCGCTGTGGAAATTCGGCAGCTGCATTGTCCCGTCTAATCAATAATGCAATCGGCTGTCATTATTGGCTCCCATAATCTTATCAATAATAAATTAATTTCTTCAATAACCGAGCATTTTAATCATTCATACGCCTTCACACGCTGATAGATCCGTCATCCGGGGCAGCTTATTTGTCCCTTTTAAATATTTACAGGCGACATGCTCGCTCTCTGTTGTGACAAACTCCTTCTTGACCTCTGACCTTTGCTGTGGCTGCTAAAGATCCGATTCCTGCCTGTTGTTAGGAGCCGTGTGGGTGCTAAGCTAAGCTCCGGCTCCATGTTCACCTGACGGACTGATGCCACTGCAGGAGAATGAATACTTCAAGGTGCTTAAGTATCTTCATGTCCTGTTATTAAACTTCCAGGTTGGATCTTAACATCGTAAAGTCTTCTGACTGCAGATAATTCATGGATGTTTTGTCTTAATATGAGCTAAAACAGAGCTATTATGGTAAACATTTCTAATCCTGTTGAGCAGTTTGTCCACTCATACACACATTGCCCTTTCCTTATGTTAATTATCTGTGACTGAGTCTTGACTACAACTCTAACATTTTCCCAAAAGCTTGACTAAAACCATATCTTCTTACCTTGGATACGGTCATGTAGGAACCACTGGCTCGTCCTCCTGTTAGTGAACCTGTTACCTGGACCTTCAGCGAACACACCTGTGGGACCACCTGGTCATTTCCTCCAGGCTGAGCTGCTCCGAGTCGACTGACTCCTGATCGTTGACGTCTAGCTTCCACATTAGCCGAGCTGTTTATGCACGGCTGCTCGAGCACAAACGCCGCTCCACAATCCGATACGACCGGCGCTCACGTCCACACAAAGACGCCGCTCCGAGCACCGAGACGCCGCCGCTGATGTCTGTAAATCTGTTGGAGGCGACGCCGCGAATAAAGACAGCATGAAGAAGTCTGGAAGTCACCTGCAGCTGGAATGATGAAGAATCTACTGTTTTACTGTTATTACTCTTTCATCTTTAATGATTATTGATGGTAGAATTAAAAAGAAAATTGAATTTAATGAGTTGAATATTTCCATCTAGTGCTACTTAATATATCTTCTTCTCATTGACAACAATGTGGAACGTTTTATCGCTGTCAATAAAGGGTCCCTAAAGGTTATGTTTTGGTTCCTGCCCACCTGGGAGGGAACGTTGACACAACATCGGCCAACGTGACCGACAAGTTGTAATCACTTTTTGAGGAAAATGTTTTAAATAAATGTCCAAAGAACGTGTTAAGAAACTGTTCCTTTCCAGTTAATACAATGATTCAATGCAAACATTCAGGGGGTAACAAAGAAGGAACGTTCTCAAATCAATATTCAATAAAGTGTTTTTCAAAACGTTCTGAACATTTAGCCTTTTTGTTGAGAGAACACATGATGGAATGTTCTTCTACACAACAATGTTCCGTCATACGATTGCAGGAACGTTCTCAAGTCAACGTTCACGTTTCCAGATGTTATCGAGGCCTCAGACGATTTTTTTTTTTTAATGAAACGTTCCCGAAATGCGATATGTCAGCAAAGGTGGAACATTCTGCCTGCAATGTTCTGAGGATGTTCTGAAGATGTTGTTGAGGAGCATGTTATGGAACGTTCTTCTATAAAACATTCCCACGATGTCACATAATAACATCGAACGTTCTCGAACTCGCACTCTGAAATGTTTTCCAGATGTTCCTGAGGCCTCAAATGGCAGGATAATATGTTCCTGTAACATAAAATATGAAAAGTAGAACATTTTGCCTTTTTGTTGAGGGAACACAAGAAGGAACGTTCTCAGAAGAATGATATTGTCAATGCAACATTCAAAAAACAATTTCAAGATGTTGTCGAGACTTTAAAAGACGTTCCTGTAAAATTTCCAACAAAGATGGAGCATTTTTGCCGCAATGTTCTGAAGATGTTTTGAGGATACTGTTGAGTGAACACGTTATAACATTTATAAAACATTCCAACAACTGTCCAAGAATGTTGTCACAGAACATTTTTATCCTGCCGTTAGAAAGAACAAACTTGAGACCAAAAGAAGACTCAGCATGAGTAGAACTTAAGCTAAACATTAAGCTAAATGTAATGGGATGGATGGATGGATGGATGGATAGATAGATAGATAGATAGATAGATAGATAGATGGATAGATGGATGGATAGATGGATAGATGGATGGATGGATGGATGGATAGATAGATAGATAGATAGATAGATAGATAAATGGATAGATGGATAGATGGATAGATGGATAGATGGATAGATAGAAAGAATACTTCACCAGAAGGGAAAAACAAAGTCTTTGGAAGACGGGATGGTTGAGGAGGTTTATTGTTTTCCTGCAACGAAAAACGAAATATTGTTAAACTATGAGGGCATGAAGAACAGCCTGGGTTACTCCTAAGTTAACACGATTTATAACATGTCGCATCCTGTTTTGAATTCAAACCCACTGATGTGAAAGCCACTTGTGCTGAGTGTCGACTTGGTTCAGAGACCATTTCCTCATCACAGGCAGGTTTGATACCGACTCCTTGGAAGTTTCTGGTTGTACATTTGAGTCACATCAAACAGTAAAGTGCATTAAAACTGCACAGCGTCCAACGACGACTCCAGTGGACGCTTTCAGCATCTGCATTGACATCACTGCAGTGTGGTTTTCCGCCAGCTCTTCTAAAATCACGTTCAACTGGACATAAATATTCTCAAACTCTGAGCGTCCACGGTGCTCAGAAAGCGGAGACTCTCGCTGAGTTTCTGTAACAGCGAAAGTTTAGCAACAGTCTGGAAACGTCCCACCGGACAGCAGCAGTAAGACCTCGCTGCCAAAGAATGTGGAGTGGAGAACAAAAATATCTGTCTGGAAAGCTGCCACATTTCCACTGGAAGTAAAGCCAGACTTCCCTCCCGGGCTCATTTAAGGCGACGCGTTTGCTTTCGGTTTCTGTCAAAGGACACAACCTGGATTCTCAGTCGGTTTCAGCAGAACTCCAATCTGAGACGGTAAGTTCTTCTCTGTGTGTTTTTCATGGCTTTTACTAACTGCTTGTCTCGTCTGATGAACTCCGATCAAAAATTGAGAGTCTATGGAGCAGCAAAACTGATACGAATACAGTTATTTAGATGTTTTTTCTCACTTTAAATGAATGATGGTTTGATAAGAGCAAAGGACGAGGATCATTAATACTGAAAAGTAAAGGTAGAAAGTGGAGGAAAGTTCAAATACTCTAGTTCCCAACCATTTTTATTGAGTGTACCACTTCATCATGTTCCAAATGTGTTATTTTGATTTAATTTTGCTTCAAATCATGTGACAAACAATTTCCATGCAGCTAAACATGAAGTGTTCAGGTCATTTTGGTAACTGGGAGCCGAGCATCAATCATGTTTAGTTAATATTTGACAGTTATTCAATTTCCATCAGTCTAGCTAATCTAACTTTTTAAAATCTATGTAATATCACAATTAAAACAATTTTCCTTCATATTTAGCAAAACTGTTTATGCATTTTCCACTATTTATATACATTCCCCGAATTGAACCGTCATTTTAGTTAAATGTTTTAACTTTGTATCTGTTTATTTATATATATATGCAATATACACGACAGTTTACTTGTGTGTGTGTAAATATATATACACACAAGTAAACTGTAGTTTTCTAGGTTTTTACGACTCTCTCCTCCACATGTGCAGCGTGTGACGGCGACATCGGTGAGGATGTGGCGTTTCCTGCTCGTCGCTGCCTTCATCGTTCCCACCGCGACCAAACTGGTGGATTCAGTGTCAGACTGTGCTGAGTTTCTTCTGCAGAGAAGTCCACCACGGATCCCGGGCATCTTACAAGGTGGAACTGTCCAGAACCAGAACCGATACGAAGTCATCTGCCAGACATTGAGGGACCAGAAAAGATACGTGACGCTCTACGACACCGAGAACAGGATTCCAGTGTTTTCTGCCTACAAGTACAAAGGGGAACAAGACAAGGAAGAACCCAAAACAAAATGGAAGATAGAGCCAGAGGTTTGTTTTCCTTTCTGTAATTTATAAAATCACTAAATACAGCTCAAAATCTATCAAGAAACAACTTTCTCACAGATGACTTTATCATGCTGATACATCATCAGTGCCACTGACTGAATCTTCCTACATCTGCAGCTTGAAGAAAGAAACACCAACAACATGAGGGAAGACCAGTACATCTACCAGGCCAGTAACAAGGATTACAAAACCGATGCACGGTATACAAGGGGCCATTTATTTCCAGTTTCTCATGCATTTGACAGAAATGACAAAAGCTCAACCTTCACCCTGACAAACATTGTTCCTCAAGTAATCTCTTTCAACGATGGCAGCTGGCAAAAAGTGGAGAGCTGCACCAAATGTGTCCTGCAAAAGTACTGCATTAGTAATAATGGTGACCCTGAAGGCTTTGTAGTGACGGGAGCACGGCCCAGCACGAGCAACACACTCAACAACAGGGTTAACATACCTTCCATGCTCTGGACAGCATTCTGCTGTTACAGTCGCAACACAAACAGGTGGTTAGCCAGCGCACACTGGGGCGACAACATCGCAGAGTATGAATCTAAATATCTGCAGACGAAGACTTTGGCACAACTCCATCAAGAGCTGAGCTCAGTGGGCTCAAGATTTGAAGCGTTTCCTGGAAGACAGTGTCCTCTCCACACAACTGTTGCTGAGTTTTACCCAGAAATGGATAGTCAATGCCAATGCCCTCCCCAGGCCTCAACCACAACTGCCCCTCCCACTACCACAACTACCAGCACTAATACTACCGCACCTGCAACTAGTAAACCTCAAAATACTACGATTCCACCAACCACAACAGCCACAGTCAATACAGACACAACCAACACCTCATCCACTCCTACTACCACAACTACTGCTACCAGTACTACTACAAAGAAAAACAAGCGCAATAGGGAAGAAGATGATGATTCAGGTCCTCGTGTTAAAGTCGATGATACAACCGTTAGTAATTTCTTTCTGAAACTACTTGGATTGTTGCTGGGGATTGACATACTGGATGACGTGTTAGATGGTATACAAAGTATTGATCCAAAAGTTCCTTCTGCATCATCTACAACTTCTATTCCTACAGCGATCAATCCACAACCTACCACAACCT